GGTTCACCAGCGCCAGACTCCTCTGTGTCCTCTTTTCTACGCCTCTGCCGTTGCTGTTGTTTCCGTTTCAATTGCTGTTGATTAGGCAACCTCTTTTCAATTAAAGGTTCATTACTGGTGGCGCAGTTAGGTTGGCTGAAGAGGACAGGTAAACCAGAAACGGCTGTTGCTGGTGCTGCTGCTGCTGATTCTGGTAAACGAACGTCATTTTTTGTAGTGCTAGCTGCTAATTAACCACAAGGAAACAATTGGATCAAACTGCAAAAACGGCTTTTTATTTTGGCTTACGATTGGAATTAGCAACTGCAACTTTGTTTACCAGTTTATTAGTAGTTGAACTGACTGGACAGGTGTGAAAGGTCATTGTGGTAGTAGTGGTAGAAAGGCATTGTCAGTCAGTCAGTCAGAGTGACTGGTCACGACTGTGTGCAGCGGCACTCTTTTACCTTTTTCGCAGTCCGCTCTTTCCCTCTCTAATCACACAGAATCAGGCGTTAGGAATTTATGTTCAAATTATGCAAATTATGCAATAGATGAAAGAAGGGCAATGGTCAATGGTTGATTGACTTCCCTATGAGGGAGAAGGTGACTGAAGTGTGCCTGCTGTAAAAAACAGATCTTTCGCACTTCCACTTTAACAGGGCAATTAAATTGAGTTTAAGTTTAGAAGGTTATATGATCTGGTGAAGCTAGAGGGCATGAGAATAGATGAATTTAGAAAAGTGGCACTGTGTGTTGAAAAGATTTTTTACTAACTCTATTCTAAATAGCAATAAAATTGTTTTGCGCTATTGATTTACTGGTTTTAACTGTTTAGGCTTAGCAACTGTAACTGTTTTCTCTGTATTGCAAAATTGCCAAATGTATTCAGCAAATAAAAAAATGTGTTTGTTGTTTTGATTTGTGCATCACCTAAAACAGTAGATTGTAAATTGCCCGACGATTTATGACATGAAAGTGGTATTGTAGTGCTACAAAGTACAGTATTACTCAAAGTGAACAAAAACTACATTTTACAAGTGTTCACCGTTTTCAATCTCTGCACAGGAATATTGTCGAGAGCTGACAACAAAGTTCTCTTTCTCATTTTATTTTCCTATCATTCCAAACTGAAAAATTTGAGTTGAGTGATAAGTGAGCAGCTAATAGTGCAATCATAGCAAGTTCTTTGTTGCAGTAGTGTGCATTTGCATGCAGGTGACGCAGATGCAATTCAGACTGTCTGTCAAAAAGTGCAAGTGCAATTGTTTGTGTGTTTTGTGGGCATCATCGCTTTAGAAAACAGCAAAAATACATACGCGGAATCACTTGCACATCCATTTCATTTCCTTCTAAGACAACAGCAGTGCGTGCTCCAGTGTAATCGACTACTGAAGATGAAGATGAAGAAGAAGAAGAAGAAGGTGCAAACTGCAAATGACCGACAGGTGCACCAGACTACCTGCCAGAAACAGTCTTTAAATCAAGAGCAGAAATGAACAACAAGACAACAAAGCGAAGAGGTAGGCAACTGACAGGTAAGTAGCAGCAGTAGCAGCAGCCGCAGTGTGATTAATTTTAATGGGCAAAAGGCGACTTCATAAGTTTTTTTGCTGGTGCAGAAAAAAAAACTTGCATATGTGCAGCAGCAGCATAAGTGCTTCTTCTTCTGTGGCCTTTTTCACGGGGGCCGTGACCGATTAAAACAAAAGAAGTGACGCAGAGTTCAAACGTCGTCTGCCGTCCGGTAGTAATTAGTCTCTGAAGACGTACCATTGGCACTTTATTGGCTGTGATATTAGTGTGCTGTTTAGGTGTACAGTGTCAGTGCTCGTAAACCGCATCCACATAATTCTTCAGCAATTGGACGGGCAGCAGCCCAAACAACAACAACAACAGAAGCAGAAGCTCTCTTTCCATTGCCAGCTGTGACGAATCGATTGACCGTCTGATTGGCGGCTGTGGCGTCAACCTCCACCAGCAAATCACACTAATTGCCACCGAATTACACACTCAAAAATGATGATGATGATGATGATGATGATGAAGCTGAACTGGCAAAGATGATGAGCCAGGCAGCCAGGCTAGACAGCCACAGACACTGCCAATTCCCAAATCTCCCATTGGTGGTTGAATTTATGAGCATTGTAAAAAAACTGAAAACCACAAGCACACACCTGCACCTGCCCACTTGAACTGATGTTGTCCTAAAGGTTTTCTTCTCAACTCTAGTAAGTTGTTTTTTGTTTTTTCATTGCTTAGTCAGCAGTAAGTGTTTTTCAATTCACGCCAATCGATGGCATCTAAGCAGAAAGCATGCAGAATATATTTCACAGTTTTTTTTATCAATTTGATTGCAGCAGTTTTGACCACACGTTTGTACACTATTTATGCTAACTTTTAAAATTTTTTTGCGCTAAAGAAAAAATGGTTTTTCTAGACAAAACGAATACCAAAAGTAAAAAAGAAAGTAGAAAAATCAATCGAACAAGAATGTTCTTTTGTCTGTGGCATGCCAGAAACGAATCGATTTGCATACGTGCAGCTTTACTTTTCTCTCTGATCGATTGATCTGCTGCAGACTGTGGAATGACGAATTGGTCCACTTTTGCTTTTCATCTCTCTTGCTTTTTTATTTATGCCCAAAATGGCTTATTTGAACTGTGTGTGTTTGTTGAGAGAAAATACTGCATTTTCTCTGGTTTTGTTTTTGTTGCTAACTGTTGTTTTCCTGCAACATACTGCCTGCAACATTCTGCCTGCAACATTGCCCTGGTAACATAAGACTAACTGTAACAATAGAAGAAGCTGGTGGAGGTAACATCCAGCAAAGCTAGCAATGTCCTTTCTTATTTTCAATCTCAGTTCACATTAGAGGAAGAACAGAAACATTTCCAAAGAGAGTTTTTAGCCCAGGGAAACGATTACGAGAATTGTCATTGTTTTTTACCTTTTTACTTTTGCTCTTACGCTATTAATATTTACGATCCAGAAAGGAAAACGAAAAATTTAATAGTGCTGTTATTATGAAAAAAATTCGCAATTGAATGCCACAGTACGATGAATTTGAAAACGGTTTAAACTAGTCGGATAGTCTCGGTAGTTTACAAAAGTTATGCAAAAGAAAACGGAAAAAGGAAGCTTGAGTTCTAGTTTCGATTGACAGTCAGCCTTCAGGTTAAACGCTTCTTTTGAGCAAAATACTGTTGAACAGCACAAACGAAAGTACAAGAGAAATGGAAAAGAGAAAAAAGTCAAAAGAAGGCAAAGAGGTTTTAAATGGATAAAAAGATAGAAAGGAAAATAAGAAAATAGCAGCAAAACACAATTCTCATTCCTGCTGTTCCTGACTGCCTGCTTGCCTGGCACCGTCCAACAAAATTGAATTATCGAGCTTTGTATATTTCATATGCCACCATATTTCTCCTGCTCCCTCTTTTTCCTTTGCTCTAGCGAACAGAAGATGAAAAGTGATGACAAACCAGAAATGCAAAAAAAAGCGAAATTGGGTCTGCTGCCTTGCTGGCTGGCTGGCAGAGTCGTCTCTGTCGCCAGGACACCGTTTCTTTTGCCGTTGTCGTTGCTCCANCGATTGACAGTCAGCCTTCAGGTTAAACGCTTCTTTTGAGCAAAATACTGCTGAACAGCACAAACGAAAATACAAGAGAAATGGAAAAGAGAAAAAAGTCAAAAGAAGGCAAAGAGGTTTTAAATGGATAAAAAGATAGAAAGGAAAATAAGAAAATGGCAGCAGAACACAATTCTCATTCCTGCTGTTTCTGACTGGCACAGTCCAACAAAATTGAATTATTGAGCTTTGTATATTTCATATGCCACCATATTTTTCCTGCTCCCTCTTTTTCTTTTGCTCCAGCAAACAGAAGATGAAAAGTGATGACAAACCAGAAATGCAAAAAAAAGCGAAATTGGGTCTGCTGCCTTGCTGGCTGGCTGGCAGAGTCGTCTCTGTCGCCAGGACACCGTTTCTTTTGCCGTTGTCGTTGCTCCAAAATTGGCCATGTTATTATTAACGGCACAGTGGAGGTGGTGGTCGTGGTGGTCGTGATGGTAGCTCTGGCTCCTCGATGCAAGCAAGCTAATAATAAAACAAACCTATTGGACTGTGCTCTAATGCTCGGTGACGACTAGGCTGCTGCTGCTGCTGCAGTTGTACGACAGCAGTCATGGTGGTGGTCGAATCTCCTTTTTCTTCTCCGTATTTCCTTTTTCTTCTTTTTTTCCTTTGCAAGTCCTCCGATGACTCTGGCCATTTATTAGAATTCCACAAGCAAATGGATTTTAGCTTCTGTCCTGTTTTGTGTTTGTGAGTGTGAGTAGTTGTGTGGTGGTCCAAATCAAAGTTGTGCAAAGTCAATCGGTGACAAGTGCGGCCAGTCTGAAGGAGAGAAAGTGGAAGGGGAAAAAAGTTATATGATTCATATCGATTACCGACTACTTCTTTTTTCTTACAAAAACGACGACTTTTGCTTATTTATTATTGTTAATACAACCACTACTACTACTACTTCTTCTGTTGAGAATGGCCACTTTGCTGATTAATTGCATTTACATCACAGGCCACTTGGCGCCAGGCAGCTGTCCGGCTTCTCTTTTGCCTCTTCTTCTCTTTCTGAATTTTTTCCGCTATTAAATTCCAATACTGCAGTTCAGCTAATGTTCAACTGATACCTGTACATTTTTTTGAGTTGGCTAAAAATAATTAATGTTTTTTACTATTTTGTCTTTGCTTCAAATTGTAAGCAATAGAATAAGTTAGAATGAAAAACCTAATTTGTTCAGCAATTTGTTTTTAAAACTTGCAAGTTTTTATTTTATAAGAAACAATTGTACAAATGTTTGGATAATATAAATATGCATGTGCCAGCTAGGTTTAAATAAAAATAACAAATAAAGCACAATACCTTACTCAAATGAGTAAATTAGGAGTAGCAGCTAAGGATCCTTCCGACGATGTGTTCAATCCAATCGCGGTAGTAGCTAACACGAGTGAACAGACTGACTCTCCACGGCTCGCCGCACTTGTACTGGTAGGAGGCGATTCCGGTCACTACATTATAGCCGTAGTAGTCCTTTACTGCAGCGCCGCCCTCGTCGCCGACGCAGATTCCCGATCCGCCCGTTTCCAGGCTGCCGGCGCAGAACATGTAGTAGTCGACGGTGATGCCCACTGTGCTGTAGTAGTCTCGGCAGCTTTGGGCGGCGTAGGGCAGTGTCACCTGACGCAGTTTGGCCGACAGCAGACCGGAGTTGTCGATGGTGGAGCCCCAGCCGGCCACCTTCAGCAGCTCATTATTAACCTCACTGCCTGCACAGCGAAAGTAGACGTAGTTGTAGATGTAGGAGGGAAATTCCTCTACGGTGCTGATCAGGGCAATGTTGTTCTGCAGTTGGCCGGGCTGATGCGCCGAGTAAGGGTACACTTTGGACAAACTGGCAATGTCGCCGCCAAAGTTGTGGATGTTGGTGTTGTAGCGAATCTGGTGAGTGGCCGGAGTGATACTAAAATGTGAAATAAAAAAGTTGTTGTTAGAAAGTAAAATTGACAAGTTTTTTGTTGCAGTTTTACCCTTGAGCACACTTGGCAGTGGTGAGGACCCAGCGGTCGGCAATGATCGTGCCGCCGCACACGTGGGCACCAGATTTAGTTTGAATGGAGACCTGGTAACGCGCCTGGCTGATTGGAATCTCCACCCCGTTGATGATTCGGGTGTCGGTGCTGTTTTTGTGTTTGGTGTCCACTAAAACGGCCGCACTGATGCTGGCAATGCAGGCTAGAAGGACAGCAAACTTCATTGTATTGTTTTGAGGGGAAAAATCTGGAAAAGTTGGAAGAGTTGGTGAGGAGGATGATTCGACTGGGTCAATGGGTCGTCTTTATATACTCATTTTTAGTCATGTTTTGAATGTAAGGAAGTGTTTTATTATTTTTAACCTTTGGAAACTGTTAGGAAGTGTATACTGCAATGTGTTCTCGGTAATTACAGCTTGGTAATTTCCTAAATTATAACACCAAAATATTATTAAGTTTTGAGAACAGCTACTGCAATAAAATTTTTTTAAATGTATTGTATTTCAAAATAAGATCTTGAACTTGGAACCGCTTCCTAGTTTTAACTCAAAAATTATTATTCATATTTAGATCAAATAGTC